AGCTATCTAAATATTAATTGTAATTAAATTACCGTAGTGAAGACCCCAGATGCGGTGGACCAAGAGAGACATGGAATCAATGGCATGGGCTTAGGCCAGTTGGATACTGCTAAGGAAGCCATCTGTAATATGATAATACAGTTTAGACAGCTTATGTTTAAAGTTTCCATTAATTAAAATGAAAATTATTTGATATTAAGAAGTACTTTGTGTAGTAAGTATTAACAGTCGGTCAGATAAGACAAACACAAAGTTTGTAAACATTTGTGAAAATGTCTAGCAACCTCGTTAAATTTCTAAAATCATAAATTCAACTATGACATACAATTTCCCCCTTAGAAAGCAATAAAGTATAATAGAAAATTTTAAGTAACCTCAAGACCCTTCACTAAGAGCTACTTTCTACTGTGTAAATATAGAGCGAACATGCTAAGATGCAGAGGCTGGGTGGCAGGCTAACCAGACTCATGACTTAAGTAACTTGTTTATAAACATCAAAATCACAACTATAAAACCTCTGAGGCTGAGTATGCCAAGAATTTGGTGAACTATAAAGCAGATTATATAACAGATATTAAAATAATGTAATATTTGTGTTTAGAGAAGGGAAAAGTTACTTTTGGCTGGAGGAATCAGAGAAGGAAGGCTTCATGAAATGGCTGAGTCTTTTAAGAGGAATGAAAGATGAGGGTCCTTTTTTCCATATGAAGAAACCAGTATGATCAAAGGCAAGATGGTGAGAAAGCACAGGGTCTGGTAGGGAAACAGCCAATATACTTCACTTTGGCTGATTAATAGGCTCATGTGGCCAGTGGGGTAAGGGAGATAGGTAGGGCTAGAAATATTGATCAAGATCAGATTAGAGATCCCTTTGTTCTGTAGATAATGGGGAATTAGTGAAGAGGTCTGAGCAAAAGAGTAGCATTGTCAAAGAAGTGATTCAAAGAAACTAACATGATAGCAGTTTACAGAATTGATTAGAGTTGGTGAAATCTGAGGTAGGTAGACCAGTTAATAGGGAGTAAACCAGGTGAAGGTTATCAGGACCTGGCCTAGGTCATAACGATGGAAATATTAATACAACTAGGTAGGAAGATAAATCCTTTTCTACCCTCAGTTTTGCTGTCTGGTAGTTGTTTTGAATTTGAGTAAAATTTTGAATTTAATTTTATAATTCAAATGACCTATAGAAAACTCCATATATTTTTTTTAAAATGTATTGACTGACTAATACATGAGGGTGATGATCCATAGCATATTTCCTGGCCTTCAATGTACCAGCTGCTTCATGCAGAAAACAGACTGAGACTGCTAAACAAGTCATTACAGTACAGTGAAAAGTACTAATGAGAGTTGAAGTAGTCTGGAGGTAAGTTTGGGAGTCTGATGGAGCTTCTCACAGGAAGTAAGCTCTACATGGCTCTAAGCTAGACCCAGAAGGGTAAGCTGTTATTCAGCTAGGTGAAAGGGAATAAAGGGGCACTAGAGGGACGCTAGCACATGGCACAGCTAGAGCCCAAGGTAAAAGCAAGCTTTGGGCAGGTTTTGAGCAGGAGAGAGCAGAGATCAAATTTAGAAAGATCACTCTAGTTATGGTGTGGGGAAAAACGGTCAAGAAAAAGATTAATGAGAGAAAAGACTAGAGACACAGAAACCAATTAGGAATCTGTTTTAGTAAACTCTAGAAGGCAGACAAAAGTAAAATACATTGGGGATAGAGATAAATGATAAGTATTTTTCAATTCAGTTATCTCGACCAACTTAACAGCAAAATTGGGCATTTGTACTTGAGAGTTGAAAATTAAACTTTATAATCAACTTTTAATAAAATATTAAATCAAATATATGACATGTAATTGTGGAGTAGTACAATCAATGTCTACATAAATCACACAAAAAAACTAACATCATTACTTCATAACTGGAATGACAGTTTAGAATCTCTTTCTGCTTCCAACTTTTACTGAAACTAAAAATAATTCTATATCCAAAGTGAATTTTTAAAATAACCAGATTCCCTAGATCTTATAAACACAATCATCGTTAAATATAAGTAGAAATGAAAAGGCTTACGTGTCCTCCCATGGATATTCCAGTCATTCCTAGAGGTCCATAACCCTCCCTCTCTAGCCAGTGCAAGAGAGCTGCAGATTCTAAGACAAGAGCTCCTCCCATCACAAAAAGGTCAGACACGTTTTTTAAGCTGGACCTTCTAGCCTCATAAAACAAAATAGAAAATTATTTTATTTTATGTATTTACATTTTAACATATGCAAATGGGCAGCCGGACTTTGTTTCTCTTTTAAAGGACCAGACAGCTGAGTAAAACAATGGAATAAATTGAGGAATCACAGTACTGCTAACATTGTTGTACATATTAATCACCTAAAACTTAAAAAAAAAGGTATATCTGCTCTATAGCATATAATCTTTATTGAAATTATTAGAACAGAATTTAAAGCATAACTTTTTTTTTGAGATAGAGTCTCACTCTGTTGCCCTGAATAGAGTGCCGTGGCATCAGCCTAGCTCACAGCAACCTCAAACTCCTGGGCTCAAGCGATCCTCCTGCCTCAGCCTCTCAAGTAGCTGGGACTACAGCCACACACCAAGACACCCAGCTAATTTTTATATTTTTAGTAGAGGCAGGGTCTCGCTGTTGCTCAGGCTGGTCTCGAACTCCTCAGCTCAAGCAATCCTCCCGCCTCAGCCCCCCAGAGTACTAGGATTACAGGCATGAGCCACTGAGCCTAGCCTAAAGAATAACTTTCAAAAAAAAAGCAATGGAAAAGAATTAACCTAATACTAGGCTCATGTATTACTGACATCTTAAATATGTTGCTTATTTTCACAAAATACACAATTTATGAATATATAATAAAATA